ATTGAACCTTACAAACCAAGTCTAATCCCTCCAATGTAAGACAGATGTTTAAACGATTAATGGACATCACTACCCTTAAGTCTTGCCCGGCTAAACAACCACAATAACAGTTGGGAATTATTCATATGACATCGTTTCTGGTTCCTTTCCCGTGATGGGCTCCAGTTTGTCTCCAAGAACTGAATGCCTAACTCCAAGCGTGATCAGAACCTGTAGGTGCTCTTCCCTCGCAGGGTATATAATGTCACGTTTACATACCTCATTTGTTAGATTACCCAACCCTTCCCATTTTTGGTATAGCTGAGAGTCAGCTCAAAAAAGGGAATAAAGGCCACCAGGATCACCGGCTCAGGGCCTGCTGGAGTAATCACATTCCCGCGTCCCCCGCCCCTCCATTTTTAGATCAACTGTTGGGATCAGAAGGAACTCAGAGGTAAACTGACGTCTCTCCTTCCAAGTCACTGGGGAAGTTGTTGAAGAAGCCCACCTAAACAGTGCCACCTGCCTAGGGCAGAAAGGTGCAGAATAGTGTGAGAGACCCAACATAGGATTAAAGTCTAAAGTTTTTCGGATGGACCCAGGAGGAGGAGGGTCTCGGTCCCCATTTTCATTTCCGAAAAGGAAAAGACTGGCACTGTGACAGCAATACACCGTAAAAACCAGCTCTAAACCAGGCCGACAGGAATGGAAACCAAGGAGATGAGAGGTAGTTTATGGTGACCACCTCTCTGCCGACAGCTGGGTGAGAGAGGTGAGAAAGGATTGACGGTTTGGGCTCTGGATTTTACCTTCACATTTCTGCTCCACAAAGTCCAAGATGGGGACGGTCCAGTCCGGGCCCCGCAGGAATCCGGCGATGCTCTCCACCACCCATTCCACCTCGTCCTCTTCTTCCGCAGACATGCCGCCCCCGCGAGGCGCCGCGGAACCCTAGAACAGACCCCGAAGCCTGGAAGGCCTTTCAGCCACTGGGAGCCGAGAGGAAATGGAAGAAGAACGAGTTATTCCCGCAGCCACCGAAAGCTATAAACCAGTTAACGTAAAATGGTCGCTATGGCAACAGGCGTAGCCGCTCCGCGCAGCCGCACGGAAATGAAGCCAGCTTCCCGGGAGCCAGCGCATCTAAGAGAGTGGCATTTGAAGAACGTTTCCGATTGGCTGAAAAGGAATAGTAGCGGGTCGAAAGTTAGGCTTCCGGCTATTGGCCCGGAGTTGAGGGAGGCTGAGTAGCCATTGGCTGGAAGTCCTAAAAGGAATCTCTGCGTTCCCTCCTGAGAAGTGCGTGTGGTCAACGCTTAGAAATGGTGCAGTGAGGGCCTTCCTGAGACCCTGCCTCTGACTGAAAGGATTTCAAATGCTTCAATTTACGGTTGTATCTTCACCCGTCAGTGCCAACCATTTTCAGACCCGCTGGCCCAGAAACGTTTGTAATTAAAGGCTTGTTTGAAAATACAAAGCCGAGCAAAGTAGTTCTGTAAGACTTGCTGACTGGCTGTGTGGTCAGTTTGCATCGTGTAGCTGCAGGTAGGTCTTTAAACCTTCTTGCGTAATAGAAATAACTAGAATTAGGAGTTTTTCTAAGAGAAAAATTAAAGTCAGTGTTCCTTTAAATAAATGTATGAGTAACCAAACCTTGTGTTAAATAGCACCAACTCTACTTCTAGGTTGGGATCCATTGTGTAAGGGGTCTTCAGAGGTCGTTGGCAGGGATCTTCGCGTCCCAAAATACTTTCGAACAACCTTACATGTATTTAAAAATGGAGTCATATTACATATACAGTTATGAAACGTTCTGTACTTAATATTTGGTCATCTTTTCATGTAAAAATATAAAACTGTCATCTCTTTGCAGCTACTTAGTTTTCTATAAACTACCGTTTCATTACTTTTATTTCGTGTATGTATACACACAGTATCTTACTTGGATGCATAAATGTGATTAGGGTGCAGGGTTTCTTTTCCTCCCTCCGGGGTGTGGATGTACCATGCCATTTTATCCTACAAACTGCTGAAGTGAACATCTTTGTGTCTCCAAGAACTGTTCATTTTATTGACTTCCAAGGAATAAATTTTAGCAGAATTACCAAATGAAAGAGTATATATACCTTGATTTATTTGACCAGTCCTCAATTGCTAGATTAAATTACTCCAATTTGTTAAATTCATAAACAATTCTGTAATGAACATGCTTGTACGTATGTTTTGGAACCCCTGTCTTTTTATTTCCTTTGAATAAATTCCCAAAGGAAATATTAATGAACCTTTTTTAAAGTCTTTTTTAAAAAGTCTTTGCCAATCTACTAGGCTAAAAATTATACATAATTTTAATTTGCATTTTTTAACTTGAAATTGAGCATTATTTCATATTGATTAGACTTTGTGTTTCTTCCTGCGTTATCTTTTCATATCCTTTGACCATTTCTTATTGGGTTTTTTTTTTTATATTTGAAGGAGCTTTTTATACATAGAAGAATTTCAGCTCTTTATCACATGTTGCAATGACATGTTTGTCATTTGTTTTTCAATTTAGTTCACTGTGTCTTTTGCCATATAGAAGTTTTATATTTTTTTATGTAGACTTTAAATGGTAGGCAATGAGTTAGTTATTTTTCTCTAGTGGATAGCCATGCTTCAAAGACCACTTGCTGGAAATGGGTGAGGTAAAGTGTGGTGGGTTTTGAATTACTGAGAAGAGGTAAAAGGAAAGAAGAACATCATCATCCTTGGGCTAAAATACTGTGACACGAGGTGGTCACATTACTGTGGTTTATTGTTCTGCTTTTCTGCCTTCTAAACCAGCTTAAAAGAGAAATCCCACTTTTTTTCTTCCAGTTTCCTCCTTTAATAAAGAAGTTGCTTGTGTGGTTTCTAACAAGCCTGGAGGCCACGAAGTGCTACCCAGCTGCACTAGGCATTACTCAGCATTAAGGTCTGCCTTCTTTAGTCTCTTCCAAGTGCTTTCCAGTTTCAGTAGAAGCCAGTGATAACTGGAATGCACAAGCTCTCCTTTCATTTATTTTCTCAGCGTTTTGTTCCTGAATGTGGCCAATGTGAATTCCCTCAGGCCTGCGGGTTTTCTAATTTATTTCAAAACATTGTATTATTTCAGTTTTCTCCTCAAAACTTAAGGCTTTTCCTCTTATTCACGACTTGGGATTCTTCTCAGCAGGATGCTTTTACAGGTTTAATATAATATATTCAATATGCTCATCATGAAATAAACGCAAACTCAAAAGAACAGTGGACACACTCTTAGGGCAACACACGTGAGTGCTCTGGAGTAAGAGTAAGGAGGCAAGATGAGTGTGTGTTGTGCATTTTACCATACATCTCTGTTTAGCCAGGTAGTGGTCTTCCTGTTTCACAGTGGTGCAAAGCATAGTCCTCTCTTGAAAAATTACAACTTCTCATTTTGGCAGTTTTATCTACTACATATGAACAAATTTTCACATTGAAGATATGTGTTGTAACAGATAAGATTGAAATAGATAATATACACCCACATAAACATATATTTATACATCACCCCCAACAAACACAAGTATACCTACAGTACTTTTACCATAGAGTTGATAAGAAGTTTAGAGAACATGTAAAAAGTGTTTGGGGCCATGCTTGGTAGTACGTGCTCTATACATATTACATGTTATTATTATATGTAATTTAGATTTTTTAACAACTTGCAGCCTGAGTATAAGAAACCATTCTCTTTATTTCGTCTATCTCTTTTTACTGGCAAGTCATTTGTGTTCTTTACTGCAGTCCTATTGAAATCTCCTGCTTTTCCCCGTTCCTGTATGGGAACTGAGCCTCTGCCTTACTAAAGGGCTATAAAGTTCAGTTTTAACCAGATGACTGCATTCCTCCAGGTTTTTCAGGGACCGCATGAGTAATCACTACTCCCATTTGTGTACTTCTTTATAGTTTACAAAGGGATTTATATCTGACTTAGGGCAACCTTGAGAACTGAGTAAAGATGGTATTAAGATTTTCCCCATCTTACAGATGGTGTGTATTAGTTTGCTAGGACTACTGTAGCAAAGTGCCGCAGACTGGGTGACTTTGTCAGAGGGTAAGAAATAGCCAAAGAAAAACTAATGAATCACCAAAGTAGTAATTAGTTAATGTGTATTGCACACCCACGAGAAAGACAGTTCGCAAACCAGGAATTCTCAAACCAAAACGTGGAATGAGGTATTTGTTAGAAAGCAGCTTACACAGTGAGAAAACAGTGACTGTTTATGCTTTATCGTGAGTGATTACAGTATTAAATTTTTTTTAAGTGGTAGGGAATTTGTCAGTGATTACTTCCTATCAACCCTGGGAAACATTTCAAGTTTTGCTTATGATTTCCAGAGGTATAAACAAGAAATGATCCAGGTCAAGTTGGTCTCACACAACTAAATTAAGCCTTGTTTGTGTGACTAAACTGGTTTTATCTGCTGAGGGAATTTTCAAGTCTGCTCTCCCTTTGTTTCTGACTGTAACAGCTTAAACAGCAGAATTTTATTTTCTCATAGTTCTGGCGACTAGAAGTCTGACTTCGGTGTCAGCAGGGTTGGTTTCTTCTAAGGCCTCTCTCTTTGGCTTTTAGATGCTGCCTTCTCACTGTGTCCACATGGTCTTCCCACTTTACCCATCTCTATCCAAATTTCCTCTTCTTACAAGGACATCAGTTGAAGGGATCAGAATATGACACCCTAAAATATGCCACTTTGGCATATTGATTATTTTGAGCTGAATGCAAGTGAGAAACAGCAAATGCAAACATAGCTCTCTGCTCTCCTCCACCTGCATAAAACAAGGCATAAATTTCCCGAGAAATGTACTCTCCTTGTTCAAGGCAGAGGAGAGGAGGAGTCAATGCTGAGATGAATCTGCATAAACAGACTTTAAATAAACCTTGTCTTTCATTAGGAGATATCTTAAACACCCACTCCCCATATTTTTCCAAGTCACTTCCACTCAATTTATCAACCCTAAAAGCCCAAATTCTCTTTCCTTTGTCTAGTCACTTCGCAGTTTATCACGCTTTGTTAAAATGGAATGTAAGCCCCAAGTCTGTCTGCCTTTTGACTTTTTCACTTTTTGGGGGGTGAACCCAGTGCATATACAATTTTAAATATTAGTAAAGTTGTATGCCTTCTCTCCTGTTGATCTGTCTTTTGTCAGTTTAATTCACAGGCCTCAGCAACTAGACCTAAGAGGATAAAGTTTTCTCCTTCTCTACATAGACCTGTTGCATTAGGGCCCACCCTAATGAGCTCATTTTAACTTAATTACCCCTTTAAAGTCCCTCTCTTCAAATGCAGTCAAAATTTTAGGTACTACAGGTTAGAATTTCAGCATATGACATGATTCAGCCCATAACGGATGGGAAACCTGAGACTGTATGAGGTCAAGTTTCTTGCCCATTTAGCACAAAGTCAGTCAGGGTTTGCACTTCCCTGTACTTGATACTTAAGCAACAAGGTTAACTTCCAATTTTCCTTTTATAATATCTCACAGAAGTCTTTCCATGTCAATGAAAACATTTCTGAATGATCCCTTTTAATGTTACCTAGTATATTAGTTTGGATTGCCATGGCAGAATACCATAGACTGGGTGGCTTATCAACAAAGGAATTTATTTTTTTACAGGCCTGGAGGCTGAGAATTCCAAAATCAAAGAGTCAGAAGATTTGGTGAGAGAGAACCACATCCTGGTTCATATACAGCTGTCTTCTTGCTGTGTCCTCACAGGTGGAAGGGGTAAGGGAGCTCACCAGAGTCTGTTTATAAGGGCACAAAACTCGTTTATGAAGGCTCATGAATTAATTGCCTACCAAAGGCTCCACCCTCTAATATCACATTAGGGGTTAGGATTTCAGCATATGAATTTTAGAGGCACACAAACAATTCAGTCTGTAGCACTTACTTTTCCACTGTGTGAGCATAACACGATTTATTTAAACAATTCTATATTGATCTAGGCAGTTTCTTGCACTATTTAAAAAAATAATTCTACAGAGAGCATCCTTGTACTAAATCTTTGCACCTAATCTTTATCATTTTGTGAAGATTAATTCCTAAAAGTGGAATTGCTAAATCACACAGCATACAGTTTTGAAAGACATTTGTACCTATGGAATTTGGCTTTTTTTAAAAGAGGAAGTATTATGCATTCTGCAATAATCATGGTTAAATGCCAAGTAATTCTTATCTTTTTTTATTATTGTTTTACGTCCATGAGTCTACATATCCATACATACGCACAATTATAGCTCAGATACTTTGGATAATGCTGATTTAATGAAGGAGGACTAGGGAAACGATCATGATTTCCAGAGGAAGTAGATTCTTCAATTTCACAAATGAATCTCCAACTCCAAAACAGTGGTTCACTCTAAGAGACCTACAATGAATATTTGATGAATATGTGAATGATGACTGGAGTATATAGTGCCTCTTATTTGCCTAGAAATAATGCATTTCTCTTTCTTGCCCCTGAGGGAGAGAGTAAAGGTATGACTATGGCAGAGCAGGAGTTTTTTTAACTTTAACAAAGCATGCTTGCATTCTAGATTAGCTGACTTAAAGTTATTATTAGCAATAGGCTTAAAAATACTGATGCAATAGAAGTGTCATTTTCATATGTAATTTATAGATATAAAACATCACTAATGAACTACCTAATTGCTACTCCAAATGATATGAATTCAGCTTTCAAGTAAAGAAAAGAAGAAAGGTCACTGTTCTAATCCTCTAAATTGCTTTTATTCTGGCTATAGAAAGACTTTAGAAGTTCTAAATTATAGGTTCTTTCCAAATATTCTTACTTATTTGGTTTATATAACAGTAAAGGGATGGAGGAGGTTTCCATGGGTTGGCAAATAAATAATTACCTGCCATATCTTAAAATTCTCCAGTGAATCCTTAGATTTTTAGTGCATTTGCACATGTAGCATCACAGTTTCTATTCTTTAAGTGTCTTTTGTTTTCTGTTCCTCATAATCTATAAAATATTCAGCAGCTTGATTTAAATAGGGGCAAAGAAGTAACAAAAACTACAATGGCTTCAACTTGTGGCTTAACTCATTTATTTGGATGGCATTACTTAGAATCCTTTCTTTATACATTGAGTACATTCTGTGTGCCAAGCACTATGCTAGACACTGAGTAAAGAGCTCTGGATATGGTACATTCTAAATTCCAACTGTATAATAGTTTGCTTGTTTTCATTTCATCTCTAAATATTCAGGGTCTTTGTGTGAATTATTTCTTTTTATTTCGCCTCCCTTTCTTTAGTCATTTTTTTTTCATTGTTTTATTTGTGTATGTGTAATTTTCCTGTTTTACTTTCTTTTGCCTTCTATCTTCTATTACCTACTAAGCTGACTCTTGCATTTGTCTTCTATAATGTTTTCTTATCTGTTTTCTTGGGGGTTTTTTCTCCCTTTTAACTACTATATTGGTGACTTTGGGGAGGATGATTGATTTATAGAACATATTTATACATGCTTTAGACCTGCATTTAGTTCTCCTAAAAGTAGCCATATGCTTAATTAATGGCCTCTAAATTTTTGTGACCAGATATTCCATCAGTAAAAAATTTTTTGAATACTCCTCTTAATATTTGAATATATATTTACTAATGACTTAACAGACATGTACATATACATATATGAATATAAATAATTGTTTAATATATACTTTAAAAAATAAAAGTTGAAAATTGAAATGAACAAAGAGTGAGATAAGAATATGTAGGTTGAAATTCTGAAACTATTTCCCTGAGTTCTAGTGGATCATCTTGAGTACCCACTGTAGAGGCTGATAGTTTGGACTTCATGAACTTAAGCTTCTGGCACAGTAAGGAAGCCACTGAGTGTTTTATTTGCTTTAGTCCCTTTTAGAATATTCTAGGAGAGATAGTAAAGAAAATATAAAGATTCACATTTGGAGCCCAGGACATTGAGATCAAGACTCTCAAACGAAAACAGGATGACAAAAGCCTCTTCCACTTTCAGAAGAGGTGGAACCATCCTCATTCCTGATGTGGGAGGCAGTAGGAAATTAGACATATTAATGGAACATCTTTTAAGGATGTCAAGGAAATACTCTTTTATTGATTGATTTTAAAATGTTATCCTTATTATTTTTTCTGTTGGGAAGGTAACACAGTCATCCTTCTGTTTCCACAGGTTCTGCATCTTTGGATTCAACCAACTAGAAATCAAAAATATTAAAAAAAATTTTTTTCAAAGAGTTCCAAAGCAAAACTTGAATTTGCCATGCACTGACAACTATTTACGTAGTATCTACATTGTATTTATGACTACTTACATGGCATTTACATTGAATTAGGTATCATAAGTAAATAGAGATGATTTAAAGTAAATAAGAGGATGTATTAGGTTATATGCAAATACTACACCACTTTTATAAGGGACTTGAGCATTCACAAATTTTGGTATATATGGGGGTCCTGGAACCAATCCTGCATGGATACCAAGGGATGACTGTATACATATATTGGAAAAAAGTCAAACATAGAACTTCACAATGGAGAAAGTGAAAGTCTTCTATCTTTCCTACCACCTTAAAAAAAATTCTGTAATTGTGTGTTTATTGGCCTCCACATTTTAATGTACATATTAACAATATATTATTATTTTCTTTAACCAAAATGAGGCTATTCTCATTTATTCAACTTATTTTTACTTCATTGTCCAAAGATCTTTTAATATTAATACAAAGAAATTGTTCTTTCAAATGAATGCATGGTATTCCATTATATAGATGTACCTTTTTTAAATGAATATCTTATTCATGCTCATTTACAATATTTTGCTGTTACAGGCAGTACTACAATAAACATCAGTGTACCCTTAGTTTTACATTCTTGCTAAGTTATTTCATAAACAAGAAGTAGAATTCTGGGTATAAGGATATGAAACATTTCTGGAACAACAAAATTTTCCACCAGTATTATCAAATTGCCCTCCAGAAGGCAGTATCAGCTGGTACTCTCACCAAAAGATTACGTATTTACGTTTCCATACCTTTTCAGCACCAGCAACTGTTAGTGTTTTAATGCTTTTTTTTTCATATTTGAAAGATTTTTTTAAAAGTTTACTTGTTTTAATTTGCCTATGTTTAACTGTTAATGAGATTGAGGATTTTTTCATATATAAATTGGCCATTTATATTTGTGAGAGCAGCAATATTTGTTTTGTTTCTTTGAAACATTTTTATACAAATTTGCAAACATACACAAAAGAAAACATTATGCTTCAACAATTATCAACATTTTTGCCAAACCCCAGACATCATGTCATTTTATATAAGGAGTTTTTTTACATAAGATTGGAAGATGTTATTTCATGCCCTTTGACCCAGGCATTTACCTCTAATTCTTTGGTTAACTAAAATAAATGTAACCTAAAGAGCAACAACCAAACCTAGTCATCTTGCTGCAGTGGAAATGTAGTTATTGATTGAGGCCACCAGATGGCAGACCATGGGGGAAAAGAAAAGGAAGAAATTTACTCCTACCAAGACCCAGCTACAGGATGGCCTAAAGGTTTTAGGGAA